CCGAGGGGATACCCACGGAAAAGGAAGGCACAGGAAGGTAGACGGTACTCGTGGTCGCGTCGCCGTCGTTACGCGGTCTCCTCAAGGGGGTTTCTTCTTCGTCGCTGCCGCCTTCACCGTCGCCTCTTCTTCGGCCACCGCAGTTCAATCTGCAGTTCACGGACCAAAGGTGCGCGACACAGCTAGAAAATGAAAGTACTCCAGAAATGAAGATTCATCGTCTCGCGGAACGATTTACGCGCCGATCTACCTGACGTTACCTGGCCGAGATTTTTCCTTCCGTATATATCATCGGAACGAAAGTATTTTCTCTCATATCGATAATTCCAATCGGCGATTTGTTCAGATACCGCTCACCAACGAAAGTCAAAGAATATGGTTGTAGCTTCAATTATTAAATCAAATTCAATTTTTGTTAAATTATTTCAACAAATATTGTATATGATATACACGAGTACATAATTAAATATTTTTGTTTGTTAGCTTAGACGAAACGCAAGAAACATCTCAATAAAATACAAGACGTAAGAGGGACTGTGGTATCTAACTATATAAGAACACGCAAATTATTATTTTAATAACAAAATTTTTAATGTTGGTTGCTTAGTTGTGTTTTTTTAGTTGAAAAATAATATAACTAATATTAGCCAACATTAAAAATTTTATTATTGGTAATGTTTTTGATATTGGCTGCTTAGTTACATTACTTTTCTACTAAAGTAATATAACCAAGCAGCCACACACACATATTAAAAATCTCGATATTATTAAAAAAATAATTAGTGTGTCCTAAGGTGTAACATGTCCCTAAATACAAATCAGCAATATTACAGCAATATTGCAAACTATGCTATATTGTTCTGTATGAGTATCACAGCCCCTCTTATACATTTTTTATATTCAATGTAATCGATTACACATATAGATAAAAATAAATATGTATAGTACTTATAATCGATCCTTTTGTTTCCTGATTTTTTTAAATTATTAGAGATCGCAGCAAATTGTTTATAAAAGAAGATACTTAGTCGAGATTAGAAGATATTTGATGAATGGAGAGTATAAAGGAGAAAATGTGTTTCAAACACGAATGTTTGCGAATATGATAAAAACTATATCATTCACAGCAGCAATTTTTCGCTTTCTTCGTACCGTTGTGGTTACCGCACAGTGCACATTACGTAAAATGTGCGAGAAGATATGTCTGGACGGTTTTTGTTAATAAAATATAACAACTTATTGAATCCTCTACTGATTTAAATATCCGATTAATCGGAGGCGTCTGAAACTCTATAAAGGTGAGTTATTCATTACGTTATCGTAATCCCAGGAATGTACCGCTCTTGACATAACTACTCGATCGATGGTACCAATGAATTATTCATTATTTACTACAACTCGCGGTAAGAGTAAAACGTGATAGCGTGTAAAAGGAAGAATCGACTACTGTGTAAACCAATCTTTTAACGTCCTCGTTACCGACATCGGGGACCATCATCATCGGCGCGGACGCCGGACGCGATCGCTCGTTACCCAATGTTACTTTCTTCCGCGAATACTTTGTTGCCGTGCGATTACCCATTGCTCGTTTAGATGGAGAGAGAGAGAGAGAGAGAGAGAGAGAGAAAGAGAGAGCAAGAATTGGAGAACAGCGAATCTGTTTCTGCGGATAGGTAGGTGGTCGTCCGTCGCTGTTACGCGACCGTATGTGGCTGCCAGGATATGACCGGCATTCGTAACGTCCTCTTGAAAAACTTTGATATGCGCTACGCGCAGTGTGTGAAGCATTTCACTCTGATTTCATCCATGGGTGCTCGACCCGCGAGTTATTTATTGGTAGCTCGTGCCCGCGCGTCGAGGTGAGCTCGATGAGAAGAGAATCGCCGGTCGGAGACGACCGTAAAGTAAATGTACCAGTGAGTGGACATAACCCAAATATTGGAAATGAAAAATATTTTAAATATTAAGCTTTTAATCATATGTACAACTTTAAATAAATTCATTATTAAACTTTTTAAATTTTTCTCATTTCATCCAATTATTGGGTCATCCATTAACTGTCCAGTAAGCGATACATTTACCTTACGTGCCTATGTAGGTCAGTGGTCTCCGCGCTGAAGAACGTTAATCTCGAACTAGATTATACATTTAAGGAAGATGCGTTTGCAATAGAATGAAATATGATGTTTTCACTAGGAGCACCATCAACCATTTTGACGGCTTCAAGTTTCTCTTTAACCGATGTAGAAAAGAATGCAATTTCTAATATGCGTTTTATCAATCGCCATCATGAATACGATCGATTATTGAAGTCACGTTATGTAGTGTTTTATAATCGTTAATGTCGATATTTCGAGCAGCATTCGGAAAGATTTGAATTCAAGATACGGTTTCGAACAGGTGCGAAAGCAACTTCGAAAAAACATACTTTCTTACTCCCAATGTATATAATGAGTGCAAAAAATGTTCGTACAGGAGAGATATCTTTTAAAAAGATTTATTTACTTTTTAAAAGTAAATATTAACTAACAATTTATTAACAAAAAATAAAATAGATTTCTTCACGTTATTTTATCTAAAAAGATGTCTAATGATTATAAAAATATATTGTCTTAAAATTTTTTACAAATAATGTCTTCCGTTATAAATATTTGCAAGTACTTTTTATACTTTTTATATTTACTATGTATACATATATACTGAGAAAAAAAATTATTCATTTCAATAAATGAATTCAGTTAAAGCAGAAAAATATTCTATTGCTAAAAAAAAAAAAAGATTACGCAACGATTATCTTTAAAGAATATTTTCTTGGTAATGATATTAAAATATACTTATTAAAAAATATTAGAAAAACTCATTATCATGTACTCAAAACAAAAATTCATTTTCTTTTGAAAAATATAAAATTGATCGGAGAAACGAATTTTCCATAATAAGTAAATCGAATTTGTTTTAATTTGATAAACTTGATTGAAATATATTAAACATTACTAGCGGATTCAGAATATATTTTGAATAAATTTAATGTTCATGATAAACTTACGATAGATTTGCGGATATATGAATTTTTGAAATATTTTAAATAAGTAATTATTACTTGCATATTTTTTTGTGTGCACCTTTATTTCTTTCGAAGAATGTATGTATTTAAATCAAACATTATATTTGACGGAAATAAAGACAACTCTAAATTAATTTATAGTTATATAAACAGTTTTTTTCTCAACATATGTATACATATATAGACGAAGATGTTGGAATTATTCTCGCATCTTTCCGTACCATTGTTTTTGCGAGAAGACAAGTATACCGTGGTAGAAAAGCGCTGCTAGAGACGATCTCCGATTTCAAGTAAAGAAAGAGACAGAGAGGAAAGTTCACGCCTCGGTGATTCGGTTCATTTTTTTCTCCGTCGTGTTATTATCGCGATCGCGTTACCTGAAGCGAGCAAAACCGGGTATGGAAGAAGAAGAATCTCGAGGATATCGGCGGGATGCACGTAACGGATCGAGTCGAGTCTATATAAATCGTAAAATCGCGTTCGAGTGAACGTGCTCGATGTGTAATATTACATGTACGCAATATGACGTGGCTCACTCTCTTAACAGTTTATTACCACACGTAGAAGGGTACATTATTTGCTCTCAAACGGGGGCCGATTGCTCCCTCATCAGAGTTCCCTCTCATTCTCGCCGTTGCAGGCCAGACGTCACAATAAAGGCTTATAAACAATTATCCTCTGATATAATCGACGATCGGTTCGCTATAAATTTCTAGGCTGTTCTAAGCGATTGCGCAATGTCTATTTTTCTTGGAAAATCAATCAATCCGTGCCAAAACAAAGCGTGCGAAAACGGATACATCGTGAGTCAAATACATATCGTGCAGCGCATATTTGTAAATGATGAATTATATATTTATGTAAATAAGTATGGTCTGTCGCAGGAAAGCGTGTGGGCGATTGCTCCCGAGTCTCGTTGCCTTGCAAAATTTTTTGTGTCGTTTGAAAGACCATTAGACACTCGTGTCATTACCTAACTCTTTTGCTATTACCCAATATAATATTCAGTTCAGCTGCCTGGCAGCGTTTCACCATACTTTCCACTAAATTTTCAATACGTGATACGTGTAATGATCGCTATGTCATTTTGGAAATGTCACCACTTCAGAATGGGCGCATATCAACTTCAAATCTCCGTCCCGATGAGAGCCCAGAGATTTTTTGCTGGATCGGCCGACCGGGATGACTAATCTAATACACAAAAGCGATTTTCTACTTTCCAAGCCGTGTACGAGCATTGTTTCAGATTATTGTATTATATTATGTTATTACATTATCTTTTATATCAGATAATAGCACAAAAATGCTATCTAACGATCTTTCAAACGGTACGAAGAATTTTAATTTCAAAGTAATGATATGAGAGTAATCGCCCGCGCGCTCTTGTGCAACAGACTGCACAAATTGTAAATACGATGGTGATTTTAATTAATAAATTGTACACTTTTTTTGCACGAAAGTTTACACGAGTAATGGTTACGTTGTCGGAGACGAGTTTCACCGGTGCGGCATCGAGAAGTAGGAGAGATCGTCGTTAGATACTTGGGTTTTTTTATTTCAAACGGGTTCTTAACTTTGTTCGAACTTCCCTCGAACTTCCCTCTGTCGTAGGGTTGGGGTCCAAGCCTGCCTCGGACAATCTTATTTGCCTTCGAATATGCACTGTTAAATCTATAGTGTCAAATTTAACTTACAATTAGTGTGAGTCGCCACTGCTCCTATTCAATCATATGGTTATTTTACATTAAAACAATGGTCATATTTGACACCATCATACAGTGTCAAATTTAATTATCGTATTAGTAAAAAATAACGATATATTTAATAGGAGCAGTGGCGACTCACATTAGGTTAAATTTGACACTATAGATTTAACAGTGTAATAGAATTGGGCGTAATAAGACCTACATTTTT